GTGTGTGTGTGTGTTAAATGAACATACTGCAAACATGAAATGAAATCAAATTGATATGTAGCTTTGCTTCACCGTGCAGAAGTGAAGACGCTCTGCACTCTTCAGAGTTCAGTGTCAGCATTTTACCAGTCTCTATACTGGAAAAGGCTCTTGGTAAAAGCTATTGAAGCTTGAATCTAACCTTGAAAGGACTCTTTTGTTCCACTGAATGAAAGCAAGTTACAAGGGCATTTGTGATTTATTTTCTATTTTATCAGAAATGCTGAGTTGAACAATGGACTCCCACTGAATCAGTGTCCATCAGATCCTTTTCTGTAAAAATGAGACAAATAAAAGCGTGCTGAAGATGGAATTAAATGATTTTTGGATTTGCAGTCAGCAGGGGTTATTGATACTGATGATGCCCAGTGAAAACAAATGCTGAGACAGAAAATGTAAAGCCAAGTCTAAAGTGTGCCGTCAGAAACTGGATGACTAATCCACCATTGCTTCCCTCCAGATTTCCCTTAGGGGTTTTTCAAATTATGAGTAAAACAGAGTGTGTGGTAAATATAAATTGATGATACTTGGACGCTTTGCTCTCCAACGTAAATTACACACACCCATACTGAAAATGTGAATTTTGAAGCAGCTGTGCTTATATTTAAAACATATGTTTGTAATAAACAGTGTTGGGTAGTAACTGATTACATGTAATCTGTAGCATGTAATCAGATAAAAAAAATTAGTACTTGTAATTAGATTAGATTACATTTTAAAATGCTCATAATCAGATTACAGTTACTTTTTCACTGGTTACATGATTACATATTATTCACACAATGACAGTAAATTATTCAAAATGTATTGATTCACCCTAATTCTTTTCTTAAATTTTCCTAAAAAACTTCTACTGCTCATATACATTTGGAAATTCTTCCAGGAAACACACACAGCCAATAGACTAGTAGTAGTATATTTTATTTAATAACATGTCAGCATCTTAGGCTATTTTCATGGCAAAAACAATTGAAAAAATACAAGTATAACAAATACAATAAAAACCAGCAAACAAACAAACACACGTTATATTACACAAGATGTTTTTCATTAACATATGATAAAAATTCTAAAACATTCAGTCACTAGACTATAATTACACAGAAAATGGAAACGCCACACAACATTTGACCACTGGATTTTATTGCATTTTAAAGGTGATATATGGCAAAAACATAAAAAATATAAGTGCAGTATAAACTCTACATTTCATGACTGCAATGATGTCAATATCAACATTGCATATCTAATCAACTGACAAACACATTTTCATTATTATCTGAATTATCATTTAAGCATGTACTATATGCCTTTGGAGGGCTTTTGTCTTTCAAACACATGAAAATGCACAAATTCACATCATGTACAGTGTAATCGGCACATGCATAACCAGACAGAATGGATTCCCAAACTTTTTTGCCGGCCCAACATAAAATATCTTCTTGAATTTCCGGCCCTGAGATTTTAAGATAATATCTCAAATAATTTAACAACGTTTAGATGTTTACAGTTCTGAGGTGTGGGTAAAAACAAATAAAGTCTTTCTATTTTTTACAGTTTAAGTGTTTTTAATTTTAGAATGAGTTAATTAGTTAAAAATGTTTAATTTAAAACATTTAATTTGATTTCAAGAATCAGAATCAGAATTAGCTTTATTCGCCAGGTGTGCGCAAACACACTAGGAATTTGTTGTGTTTTTTTTGTTTTTTTTGATCATGTTCTCCTGGTACATACACACATGCATACATACATGCATACATACATACACATCTGACATGAGAACAGAAAAAAACATTTAAATAGTAAGACTTAACAAAAAATAATGTGTATACAAAAAATAATAATGTGTATGAATCCGGAACAGTAGATTTATGTACAGATTTGTGCATTTGTACTCTATATAGAACTGCATAAATAAGAGATATCCACATGTATTTACATAATACTTGAGAAAAAGGCAATAATTTGAATGTTTATGATTTAATGATCAGTTTTCCATTAACTCACAAACCCCCCGCAGTTCATTCGTGAAGCCCAGTTTTGGAAACCCTGGTTTAATGCAATGTTTTCATGATGTTCATAACAAAACAAAACTAAAAAATGGAATATGTTTTCTTACCAGTTAGGACAAAGGTAATCCAAAAGTAACCAAAAAAGTAGTCTAAATACATGTGTAATCTGAGAGATGTTACAAACAAAACATTTTTTGTCATGTAATTGTAATCAGTATGAGTGACACCTACTACCTAATCTTACTGTTTTTAAAAATTATATATATTTGCCAGACCTTATTTTACTCCTGAATTGAAAAAAACTCATTATAAAAGCTGTAAGAAACATCTCAAGGGAACTAATGGCCAATTAGTCATCACGACTGCAGCACTTCTATTTCAATTTCATTCTCCCTGTATTTGCTCCCTCTTCGTTTTATATTTGAGTCTCATAAAGTTTCATACCACATTTATGCAGATGATCCTCAGCTTTATTTCCCTCTAAAATCAGGTTGATTCAGTGTCCTCCTTGCTGGCTTGTTTAGAGGGCATCAAGAATTGGATGGAAAATAATTTCCTACAGTTGAATCAAAAAAAAAATTGTTTGGCCCTTCTCACCTTTTACATAATTTAAGCTCTACTCTGGGCCCAAAGGTTACAAATCTGGGAGTTATTTTTGATCCTGAATTCAAATTTGACAAACAAATTAACTCTGTAGTCAGAGCCAGTTGTTTGCAGCTTAAGAGGCTTCGCAAGCTGAAAGGTTTTCTCAGTTTTAATGATTTAGAGATTGTTATTCATGCATTCATTTCAACCCAGCTGGATTCCTGTAACGCTCTTTACGCTGGAATTAACCAGTCTTCACTATCACGGGTTGGTACAGAATGCTGCTGCTCGCTTTTTGACGGACAAAAAAGAGGGAGCATATTACCTCTGTTAGCTTGACTTCACTGGTTACCTGTTCAATTCAGAGTTGATTTTAAGGTTTTTTGTATTTAAAGGGGTCATATGATGCTTTTTTAAAGATCATTATTTGGTGTATAACAGAATATGTTGACATTCTTTAATGTTCAAAAAACACATTATTTTTCAAATACTGTACATTATTGTAGGTCCTCTATGCCCCGCCTCTCTCAAACGCTTCGTTTTCTACAAAGTCCCTCCTTCCGACAAGCGCAGTCTGCTCTGATTGGCCAGCTGACCCAGTGCATTGTGATTGGCCGAACACCGCAAGCACTCGTCGGAAATAGGAAAACTTGAAATCGCATCATATGACCCCTTTAAAGCACTTCATAGTCTTGCCCCTACAGATCTTGTCCATTTCTATTCTCCTGTGAGAACGCCAGAAGTTATCGATTGTCCCAAAATCTTGTTTAAAATCTAAAGGGAACAGGGCTTTTTCAGTTCTTGGTCCTACGCTCTGGAACTCCTTGCCTTTATCCATCAGATCATCCACTACGTTATCTTCCTTTAAATCATCTCTTAAAACATATCTTTTTCTCAGGCTTTTGCTTAACTTGAAAACACTTTTTTTGTTTTGTTTCTTTGTTTGGTGATGTTTTGCATTACTTATTGTATTATTTAATGATTTCAAATGTTTGTTAGTTGATATTTCTGATGTTTTGACTGTGCAGCACCTTGGTCAGCACTAAACTTGACATTGACCTTCTAATCCAGTGTTTCCCAACCTTTCTTTAGTCGCGGCACCCTTTGGAAATTTTAACAAACTTGTGGCACCCTACAAAATTA